AAAGTCTAGAAACATTTTTGGTTGTCACAACCAGAGGAGAGCTGCAGCAGGCACTTAGGCAGAGGCCAGGGACACTGCTAAACATCTCATGATTCACAGCACAGCCCCCGCCCGTCACAAAGAATATTCCAGTCCAAAGTGTCACGAGTGCCATGGTAAAGAAATTCAGACCTAGAAGATATACCTACTGATGTCAGGGCAATGCTCCAACTGGGCCTGAAACTGCATCACTTCTGCTAAAACACTCTGGGGAAAAGAAGGAGGAAAAATGGCACAATGAGTGAGCACAGAAGACAGTAGCACCAGGGGGGAAAGCGCAGGGACTTTCTGCCCCTGTGCCAAGGCTGGGGCCTTCTACCCGTGACTGGCGGCAGGCCTCAGAGTAAACGAGGGGGCTGAGGGCCCAGCTGAGGAAGTGGAAAGGTCATGGAGCACTGGAGAGTGCAAACCTGAGAGCCTGGCCAGGGCTCATGGCAGCCCTCCAGCAAGAGGATGAGTGTCATCCCAGAGGGCAGGGGCATGGCAACGCTCTAGACTGTTCCTTGCATCTGCAGAGGTTGTGAGTTGAAGCACAGTTAAAGTGTTGAGAACGTGGAGTCAGGAGGAATAGGGCATCTTACTTTCATGAACGAGCTACTGAGCTTCTCTAGGTTACATGCCACTTTATACTCCTTAAACAGATTAGATTAGATGTATGTGTGCACATGCTGAGGATGTTTGCAAATTCTAGCATGGCGGGGAAGCAGAACACTGCCTAGTTCAATCGAACAGATACTCCCAGGTTACCAGAGAGAAGAAAGGTGGGATAGTCCTGTAAATCATAACCTGGCCCTTTGTGGCAGTGATAATCACCACGAGGTTGAAGGATAAGTCCAGATTTCCCTGTCAAATGCTTCTGTGTCACCTTTTCACTTGTTACCAAGTAGCTGGAGTAAATTCAGTGTCAAGCCAACCCCCAGACCTGGGGCAGAGCTGCTGAGAGTAACCCAGCCGGGAACCTGCACAAACCATCCAGCTACATACATGGTGTCTGGAAACTCCATTCATCTATAGTGAGAGGTCAGGGACCTCTGCATGAGCAGCAGCTTCCTGGCTGTAACGGGAGAATGTGACTTCTCTTCCCCCTTCACCACGGGGGAGAAGCCGGGTGGAGGGGAGTGCTCCCGACAGGACTGGTTTAAATTACCCTTTTCCCTGCTCCTCTGCTGACTTAATCAACTGCCCTAAAGGACACGGAGATGTGAGAGTTTGCATGTGCGTGTATCTGGCGGCAGCTTTAATTATCGCCACTCGCTACCCTTCCCTGGGCTCATTCTAATTGTCTTTGTGACTTTGCTTAGCAACCTATGTAAGACATTTCAGCAATTCCTTTCCCTTTTCTAGTGGTGAAATCTTTCAAATAGTCTTTTTATTATCCCTACTTTAATAGTTTTAGCTTGCTACCTGCTGAGATTGCTATAGTCTTAATCACTACATTTTAAAAGACAGCTGTTAGAAGTTTCTTTAACTGCACAAACAACATCATAACAACTGAACTAAACGTGAAATAAACTGTTCTCATTTCCCATGCTTTGCTAATAATAATAGCTAACATTTGAAAGCTTCCCATGTGTAAAGCACTATGCTTTACCATACAGATTTTTTTCATTTAAATCTTACAACATCCTTGTGAGATAGACAGTATCATATTAATTAAATCTATTTTGAAGAAAAGGAAGTTGAGTCTTAGAGAAGTTAAGTAATTTGCCCACGGTCATGCCAAATGGGGCTCTACCTAATAGGACATGGCCAGGACTCCAGCTTAGCAGAACTGGGACTCAAAGATTGTGTTCTGGGCACTCTTTTGTTGGTTCCTTCCGGAATTTATCATTATCTATGCATAATTTTTACATTTCTGCAAACACAGCAATGACTGAGTTTGCTCTTTTCACTCAGCAGAATACTAAGTACACTTTCCAAATAGCTGTCTCATATGCACCAAGGGGATCATTTATATTGATAGTACGTATATTCTTTCAAAAAAAATCAATAGATCATATTTGACTTGAGCATGCTTACTTTGTAGCATTTTTAAAATTTATTTATTATATTAATTTTTTTTAATTTTGGGGGGGAGGTAATTTGGTTTGTTAATTTTTAGAGGAGGTACTGGGTATTGAACCCAGGACCTCACGCATGCTAAGCATGTGCTCTACCACTTGAGCTATACCTTTCCCACCCCGTAGCATATTTATATAGTTTTCAGTTTTTCATCTTTTAACAATAAATCTCTAGTGAACATCTTCATGCATGTAGTATTTTCTAATTTTGACCTATTTCTTGAGGTAAATTCCTAGGAGTGGAGCAACGGAGTCAAAGGTTAGGTGCCTTTTTATAATTCTTCAATATTTCCAAAAGTTTTCTGCCTTATGCCTGTGAGTGCTTTTTGAGGCTACCAGGTTTCTCAGGATGGAAATTCATCATTACTGTAAGTGTTAATTCAACACTTATCTTCTGTTAATAGGGATTTCTTAGAAAATTACTGGGGTAGGCCATTCACTTATATATGGTTCTTTTTTTAATCAATCTCTCTAAACTTTCTGTATAGTATGGACAAAAGTAAACTATGCCTCATGGGCCAAATCTGGCTCACTGCCTGTTTTTATAAATAAAGTTTTATACAAACACAACCACATTCATTCATGTATTATGTATGGCTGCTTTTATGCTACAACTGCAGGGTTGAGTAGTTTCAACAGAGAACATGTGGCTTGCAAATAGAACTGGCTACATGATTTGCAGGGTAAAAAAAGATGAAAATATGGGGCCCTTTGTTGAAAGGTTATTAAGAATTTCAAGATGGCAATGATAGAGTGTTAAATCAAGTGAGGGTCACATGTCCATGAAGTTGGACCTGCCCACAAAACCAAAAACATTTATTATGTAGCCCTTTGCTGACCCCTGGTATCATATTAATCCTAAATCTATTATAATGGGTTTAACTGTTTTTCCTTGTCTATAATTGCTTTTTTTAAAAATTATGTCATTTGTGTCAAAACACTGATGTTTGTTTTCATATATGATAGAATTTTTAGTTTCCTTCAATAATCACTGCCCCAGATATCAGATACATAGTTAAATCTATTTTCTACTAGTTCTTTTTAATGGTATGATTTCTTATATTCTATTCAAAATGTTGATTTTAATGTAATTAAGTTAATGATATCTAATTATATGCTAATCTATCAATTTTAAATAAGTCCCAATTCCAATTGTAAACATTTTCCTTATTCATTGCGTAGTGATGCCTACCTTATAAGCTTCTTATTTATAATTGGACAATTTTTGAGCTTTTAAATCTGTTTCATTAATTTGATTCTACTTTTTGTTCTTTAACTCAGTGGTTCTCAAGCAGGAATGATTTTGCCCCCTGGGGACATCTGTCAGTATCCAGAGATGTTTTTGGTTATCACAACTGGAGAAGGAGCTGCTACTAGCATCTCAGGAGTAGAAGCCAGGGGTGCTGCTAACCATCTTACAATTTCATGACAGCCCCCACAACAAAGTATCTGGCCCAAATGTCAACAGGGTTGAGAAACCCTACTTTAGCTTTGTATTTTATTTATTGATGCTTTATAGCGTGTTGTAAGTACATTAAATGTCATTTAAGGCCAGCCACCTTCCCCATTCTGCTGCTTTTCAAAGTATCAATTGGTCTTCCTGGATGCCAATTTTTACAAATAAAATTTAGAACGGCCTCTCTCAAGAAGAAAGAAAATTCTTTTCACATTTTGGCCAGAATTGAACTAGTACTACAAATTAACTTATACCCCAGTCAGCCTCCTATTATAGCTCCAGTTTGTATATAAGTCTTTACCAAGTAAAATTTCCAGGCAGATTTTTCGAGTTTTCTTATTTTGTCATAAATATTTCTCAGGCTTATTCTAAGTATTTTACAAGTTTCTTGCTCTAAAATGGGACCTCCTTATTATTACATGGTTATTTCTGGATACTACTTTTGATTTCAAACAGTTTTACTAAAACTAATAATGTTTGCCTGGTTTCTTTCAATTTTCAAGCCATAAAATAATATAATTAGTAGATTCTTCCCAATGCTTGTTTTTGTTTGGTTTATATAGCATAGGCTTGGACTTCTAAACTAATTTTTAATAAATGTTGATAGAATTTAAAATGTTAAACAGTCAAAGTCAGAAACACTTGAGAAAAATTTAAGCTACATACAGATTTGTGTTAAAGTAGTTATTACTGTTTTTATTTTGATTTTTGATTTTATTACATGGTAAGTATGTGTGTGTATATATGTGTGTATGTGTATATGTATATATTATATATACATATACACACACATTCATATGCACATATACACACATTTAGTCTCTCAAAATATTAATCTAACATCGCAAAGTGCTGATGCGCTAGCCAGGTCAGGATCTGTTAGCATTACAATGATGTGCTTAAGCTCCTTGTATTTCAAGGAGCTATTCAGAAGCCCTCAAGGGTAAAAGATACCGCTGTAGCAGGTCAAACTGTAATTTCCCCCAAATCCCTGCAGAATAACATGATTGATTCTTGAATGAACTTGAACAAAAATATTTCTGACCTAATCTTTAGTCCTTCCATGATAGCAATCCCGAAACCCCTCTTTCCCAGGATCTGTGTTTCCTCATCCATCTCATTACAGACTTTTCTGGTGGCCTCACGTAACAGTCAAGAGTGACTGGACTATACATTCTTTTCACAGATCAAAACTGCAGACAGACAACTCTCCAAACTGACCCTCATTTCTGATTTCTTCTGTGAATATATATAGTCATAGACATTTAGAGTAAGAGATACAATACTGGTGAAACAAATGATCTCATCAAATTATCACACACTTTTTTTCTGTCAGTATTTACAGAAGGTTAAATACTATCAAAACAATGGTACATTTGCATTTGAGGTGTTTATGACTAAACTAGTGCTTCCTTTGCTGCTTCACAGTGTGTTTCCCTTCCCAGGTACAGAGCATTAGACTTAGAATGGCAGTAAGGAGAAATGGAAGGACTGTGAAAATGAACTGCAACCCTAAGGATATTAGGTAGGAACTGATGAGGAACTTCCTTTATACAAAAGGCTAAGAAACCTTTCCCCAAGGTTAAGAAGTCACAGGATTTCCCATGATTGCTCCAGATATTGGATGGGAAAACATACCATAATTGGGTCTAAACTATGACTTTTCATTAATAAGGTTGACATTGGTAAGTGACAGGAAGGTAATATGTGTTTATAAATTTTATGTTTCTGCACATTTTAAAGTTATTTCAATGTTAACCTTAGAATGTCTACTGTGTATAGATGTTAAACATATGCCTTATTTTGAATATACTGCTTGTTAAAAGTATTTGTAAGGATCATATCTTTTTCTGAGCACTTACTCAAAATATTTTATGCATTTTGGATACTCAAATAAGCTCTTGATTTATTGACTAACATTAATAAAGATCTTAAAGGTTTGAAGAGTTATAAAAATGGCTGAACCATTATAAAAATTCTGATGAATTGTAGAAGAAATGGTAAATTAGCATGAAAGGAATGATCAAGTAGACTAGGAAGAGTAATAAAATCCACTGTGACTAAGATGGACAGAGAATATAGGAGATTAAGAATAATGATTAGATCAAAGACAACTGGAAAAACCCTATGACAAATCACATAGCACCTCTAGGTACAAGCACCCAAGGAGCCGTTATTGATGAGGAAGAGAGTTACCTGGGAAACACGTGTTACAGCTGACTCCACCATGACATGCTTGTACTCAATCCTCATGTCACACTTCTCTCTCATTCCTTTTCTACGGATATGTCTTTCTCACTCAGATAGTTTCCTATATATTTGTACTTTACAATGACCCTCAATAACGCAGAGGAATACCCTTCTGACAATTATTTGCCCATATAATCTGAGACCTCTAGTTATTTACTGCTAATAGAATATGGCTCTCTCAAGAATTTGATCATTGGATTCATTAACTATTGTAACTGAGAAGAGTGAAGCAGGTTATTACATTAACTATAACATAAAATGTTTGCATATTTTAATAACTATTATCCCCTCCTAGCATTACACATGTTACTCCAGGTATCATGAGCATTTTGAATTACTACTGTTTAGATTCTAGGAAATGGAGGAGCTAGCTCAAGGGCAGTAAAATGAAGAAGTTAAAAGCAAAAACACAGAGTTAGACAACTTAAATTTGAACCTTAGCTGTGTAATCCTGGGCAAGTTAATTAATCTGTGTTTCAGCTTGCTCATCTGTAAAATGGGGTAATGTCTGCCTCACAGGGTTGAGTCAAGGATTAACACAAGCTAATTTATGTAAAGCACTTAACATAATATAGCATGTCAGGAACTGTGTTAATATAATAATGTCTATCTACCTCAAGCATGCATGCATCTATCCAACTGGTTCTGTTTCTCCAAAGAACCTTGACTAATATATATTTTCAATTTGGATTCTAAGGTGATGCTTTCTAACCAAAGGACTAAAATCTTTTCAGCATATGAACCCAATCATTAAAAACAAGTCTCCCAGAAGAATTGAGGTCAGAGAGGGACAGAGCTGCAGCATCAGTAAGCCATGCCCAGGGTTAATGAGGAAGGCCTAACCTATAATTCACATTTATTGTTCAGCATGGACATAACCAAATAATCAACCAACTTAGAGAACATTCTCTGGCCAAGTCCACCAGGAACACACCTGTGGTTGAGCAAGTTGGGTTTGTTACTCATTGCCATGAGGGAGAGGGTCCAAGGAAGTGGGCTTCTATCTCTGTTGGGTACTTTCAGAAAGCAGGGATAATTTTATGATTATCTCAATAAATCTTATGTAAGGGCACAGCAGACAAAAGCTATAATTGGTAGAGAAATAGTAGTCACTCCTATTAGCTGAGGAGAGGGGGATGTTTGGTATTTTGTGGCTTGGACGATGTTCATGCTTTATCTGTGTTCAGAATTAAATTCAGAGTGGGCTTGCTTTTGTCTTGATCCATCATTGTCACAGAATGGCTTTGTCTGATGTTGATGTCCTGTGAAATTGTCTACGTGCAGCAGGAGAAAGCCAAGGCCGCACTGATAGCACCAGGCCAGCTCCTGGGTGTTAGGGCTGCTTTTGTCTTTCTCACTATGTTAGTGAACTTCATTTCTGACTGGAGTGGGTGCCCCCTTGTGAAATCTCCTATCTTTTCCATTATTACTTCCAACAGCAACATCTGAATCCTGAAATTAACCAGGGGCTCATAAAACCATAATTATAATTACAGCATGAATATAAAATTAAATTTAATTAAGATTAAAAGTGGAAGGATGCCCAACTTCAATTGTGAAGATGAATAAAGAAGGAAATTACATTCTTTCAAATTCTAGGTTTTCAACACCTCTCCATTTTTATAAGCAAAACTGGCCAACAGCAATGTATAAATTTCACCGTATTCATATGATACAAGGCCAAATTTGGGGGAAAATTGATGGGAGACTAAATCCTCTTGTACTCAAAACCCATCATAAAGAAGAAGAAAGAAGGCAAATCAAGTACCCCCTACAGAGGTCTCTGGAGAGAGGAGTGGGGAACAGTGGCCAGATGTGCCTTCTCTACCTGTTCCTTACCACCAGTTACTACCCCCACACACCCCACAGGGCCCAGGGAGCCCCAGTGCCCTGGAATCAGAATCCAGAGGCCTCCAAACTACTTGCGTCATGATTCACACAAGTCCTTATCTTGTCCCAGATGACACCACAATGCTCTGAAGAAGTACACAGGTCACATTAATTTCTGTGAGGTACATGCAGTTCATACCCCACTACCCTAAAACAAGCAGTATTTTTGCCTATGACGATGCCCTTGTATATTTCCAGCACTAACCATTGTTTGTGGTCTTAGCACACATGGTTGATAATCGCAGCATAAAGCAACTGTCAGGACATAGCAAATGTACATAATATTTGATTTTATAATTCTGAAAGTAATTCTACATGTTAAGGAAACTTAAGTGGTTATAAAACTAATCCATACACTTCTAGGAAGTACTGCTCATTCTTCACATCTAAGACTCCATTATCGCTCAGCTCAAACCTGGATTAATAGTCACTAAACAAACTGTCAGCAGGAATCAGTGTTAACCTTGAGAATAGAGCAAATGATTAGATCAGCGAGGCTGTGATCCAAAACTTCTTACTGGTAAAATAATCCATGTTTGCTAAAATTCCTTCTAGGGACCACCTCAGGAGCTGAAAAATGAACAAACCTGGAATGGGCAGATTCCTTCACATTCATTTGACGTGGAAATCAAATCGTTTGGTTAGCAAGAAAATTCCACCGTCAGCTGCTCAGAATATGTTGCTGATTTTATCCTCTGCATCTTCAAGGTTTGGACCAAATATAAGTCCCTCGTCAAGAATCTGTTGATTCTATCTTTCTGATCAATAGACAGTGGAAAGGAGATTGTGTTGACGGTAGAAGCACAGACTACTGGGCTGTGGAGGTGCTGGTGAACTGAACGTGCCCCCCAGATCTGAGGAAAGACCCTAAACAGAGAGACAGACAAGCGGGTGGTTCATTCTTTCCACAACTACCTTAAGGTTGGGTCCTGTCTGTAACAGATCTCTGCTAGAAGGTCCATATAACACACAGCTCTACTAGACAGGAGAAACTCACAGAAGAAACAGAGGCTGCCTCTTTGGATACCATGGACCTCATGCCTGAGCGTATTTGTTTAGTTTCTGCAGAAGTTTTGTGGAGAAACGTGGAGTATGCTTTATGTGACTGCAACACAGAACCTGGGCTCTCAAACGTTTATGTGCGTCAGAATCACCCAGAGGGCTTGTTAACGCACTGATTGTGGGCCCACCCCTAGCCTTTCTGATTCGGGACATCGGAGTGGGAGTTGTGCATCTGTCTAAGTTCCAGCGTGATGCTGAGGCTACCCATTGGATACTGCCCCTCGAGCCCCACAGTCTAATTCCTCACTTGATTAGTTTCCGAGCTCTCTGAGGGCTGGCTTCTTTTCTCCTCCGGGGCTCTCATGGGGTTGTGCAGCAAATGATTGAGAGTGAGTGAGTGAGGAAGCCAAGACACAGAGGGACAAAACGGCAGGCCCGAGTTGGGTACTTCTCTTTGTTTAGCCAGGCCAAAGTGGGGAACTATTAAGGAGGTAAGAGTGGCCAGAGAGATCTATCATTGTAAATATGAAAGGTACCAAATTATAGTTTACAACTAATTAGAACTTGCACGAGTCGTTTAGAAAACCACTCCAAAGGATGCTTTAGAAATTTTCTTTATCCTTTTTTCTGACTGCTGTGGCAAAAGTACTTAATGGAATTACCTTTACAAATACATTAATTTATTCTACCCTGAGGATATTATATTCAATGATTTGACAAAACTAATCTGAGCTAATAACAGACACACGTTTACTGAGACTAAGCACATTTTCCAGTAGAGAGATACCTAGCCATTTGGAACAAATGACAGTTGAGGTATAAAGATGAAAGAATGGCTGTAATGCCCAAAGGAGGTACCAGGGTGACTAAAACGCAAAGGTAAAATGTGAGCCGACAAAGAAAACTCACAGGGGGCAAAAGGCCCACCACAACCGCTACCAGGAAATTTTCAACCACTGACAGATGCTCAGGTTCAAGAGGTCTGTCTCCAAAGGATGCATCAGCAAGAACCACACCTTCTCAGAGCACTTGGTTCCCTCCAGTGAAGTCAGGCAATCACTGCCCTTAACTTCCATTCTGCCAATGAATTACCCCATGCATACTGACCCTTAAAACATTCTAAATCTATTCCACAGACCAGAGTTGAAATCTCAAAGCCTATAGGGATCAATATAAGTAAGTGAAATTAAGAGAATATAAGGTAGTAATGGAATTTGGTTAACCAAATAGTCTACGTTCTGTTTAAAGGGGAAGCTCAGATAAATAATGAGGTCCTACTGTATAGCACAGGGAACTATATTCAATACCTTGTAATTGCCTATAATGAAAAAGAAAAAAATAAATACACAATCACTATGCTTTACCCCAGAAACACAACATTGTAAATCAACTATATTTCAATTAAAAAATAAAAATAGTGCAGCTGAAAGAAAGAAAGCAAATGTAGCAAAATGTTAACAATTAAAAAAAATAAACGAGAAGCTCTTTCCCAGCTCCAGGAGATTGTTTCACTGTGGAAGTGATCCCAATGTTACCAGCTCTCCCGATGTTTTGAGAGGGATCAGAGATTGGAATTTCACATAAAGTTTCCTGACTGTTAAAACAGTGTGATTCAAACAAAATATGTTTGCAGGTAGGATGAGGCTGTCAGCCTTCCATTTAGAACCTCTCCTTAGACTCTAGGAAAACAGGACAGGAAAGGACTTTCTAGTTACCTACTTCTGGGTATGTCCTCTGTCCCTCTCACCCCCCTTGAAGAGCACTCCTTCTGTTTTAAAACTCTCTCAGGCTCAGAATTCTTTCCCTAGTTCCTGAAGGACAAGCCAGGGAGATCATGTTTTCACCAGAAAGTCTTTGATCACCCCATATGCTGAGATACTGTCCATTAGTGATGTACTCGCCATTGGTGGGGAGAGGGGTGGCTTGGTGTCACACAGTCTGAAGATGACGAAACGGGTAGGCGCTTAGGTCCCCACACTCACCCTCACGTTCTCCTCACCCCTGTCATTCCGTCTCTGGCTGCTGGAACAATATTCTGAAAATGCATGCAGGCTGTAAGAAAGAAGGTGCTTTGCCCAATTACTTGGAGTATGAAGACTATCAAACCAGAGCTGGAGAAAACCAGAGCGTTGGGGGAAACAGAGCAAAACCAAACCAAACCCAAACTGAACCAAAGAATTAAAAGGACTTGAAGAAAACTCTGCTTAATTCTTCCAGGTCAGGTTCAATTAAAGGACAGACAGCAGCCCTTGTACTAATCCTGCAGGTCAGTGTGGTCTAATGCTTCTAGTTCCTTCTCATCCTCATTTCTTATTAAAGGAACAAGTGAGGAGAAGTGCAGGGGATTGGGTAGACTTTTCTTGAGGGCTTATTTTTCTATTCATTTACTGAATCAATATTAACTTATATCTGTAATGCATGGAGCTTACAGTCTATCAAGTGAGACAATTAAAAAGCAACTTCAAAAAAGCAGACAAATAAAAAAGCCAATAAATTAAAACATGGATTATAAAAGTATAATCTGGCAAATAAAAGTATAATCTGGAAAATAATCTGGATAATGCAAATAATTATAGAGGAAAATCACTTCACTCACATGTATATGTTGTATATTTTGTGTTCATACTCCCTACGTAGGGTAGAAGGAGAGGTGACGTCCTTTTTTGGAGGGATTCCAACAGGGAGAGGCTACTATGTTCACTATAAGTCCCACGTAGGCAGTGGAGGGGTAGCTCTGGTGGTCCACTTTGTGCACTGACAGGGAGTGACAAACCCCAAGGTCCTGTGTACCTAGTGATGCTGGGACCCTCTTCTGCCCTAGTGGATTCCTGGAGCAGCTCTGAGTTCCCAGAGGAAAGAGAAACTCCAGGTACTGGTGGAAGTTGCAGCAAAAATGTAATTATCCCACGGAAAGTGATATATTTAGCAACTGAGCAAGAAAACCTGGGTGTCGTAGCTGGCAGCTGAATCAATGTTCATTTCCAACATCTTTCGGGAAGATAACCTGCTGGCAAAGGATCCAAGTTTAAACCTACTCTTTTCCCATCCCCACCTCTGCCCCTGTGCTGTAGAGCAAGAGAACCCTGGACAGTCGGCTTGTAACACAACAGGACAGATCAGGAAAGGTACGCAAGCAGCTCAGACTCTGGGAGAAAGCTCAGGCAGAGACTGGAGCAAACAGAGTCTTGGGTTGGTATTTCAAAGAGGCGCTTGTTTTACTAAACATCCTCAGATCTGCTTCCTTGAAAATCACTGAATAATGACTATACTCAAAGTAAACTTCCAGAAAGTTCATCAGAAGGCTCTGGGCCTGAGCCTGGACATCACATGTGTTTATTGTGTGTGAGTGGCCAAGGCTCATCCACTGTCTTCCTTCCTATGGATTCAGACATTCACAGAGTCTTCTGTTCGACTGACAAAGTCCTGAGTTAAAAGGCTTTCAGATAATCATATGTCAGTAGTTTTGAAATCTTTTTCAACCTCCCTTTTGAAACACAGT